TAATATATACATGTCTTGATTTTGTTTATCTTTAGCGAACTGTCATCAGCGATTTTTATAGTAAACAAGTGATTAGTCCAATATAAATCCATTTGATGGCGATTTTCTATGCATATTTATGCGCTGTGTTCAAATGATAAATATTTATAACGACCTTTGATATCTTTGCTTAGCCTAAGCGTACATCTGAGATGGGCAATAAGTACACATTATAATTGAAAAAGTAGTAGCAACGTTAGTTAGTCCTTAATGTCTGTTAATTGAATAAAAGCCCACTACACTTTTGAACCAATTAATATATATAATAAGTTTTTAGTACTTGAACAAAAGCTAAGTTTCGTTGAATGTATTTAGGCATTCATCCAAAAATTTTTTGGTCTAGGAATGATAAGACCCATAGTTTTTACTTTCTTTATCGAGAGGTTTCGGGTACATCCTTGCTTGCTTATTTGTTTGCTTGCAACGCCCAAAGATATCTTCGGACGCACTATAACACATATATATTCTTGATAAGTATTAAATTGTGAGTAAATTTCAGGACGTCACGGCATCTTTGTATCTATCTTGTATGTATTTTGTAAAAGTTCTCTCGATCGCAAAAATTAGGAAGACCACTTCAAGTTCGCTAAGAACATTGGAGGTTCCCTCATGCAGATTGATGTTCAAAATAAGCTAAATGGGTTCATAGGCACACCATAAGCGCAACGTAACCACCAGTTCCTTGGTTTTGAAAACTAAAAATGTAACGATAAAAAGTCACGGCATATGCCTTGGATGAGGCTATTATGCGTTTAAATGCTAATGAAAAAAATCGCTCTGCTTTTTGAATATTATAACGTATGAAAAGTTCTTTTTTATATCATACACCACTTTTGGTACAGGGAATTATAAGTTAGTGCGGTTGTATGTAATACGCAGAACGGCTTAAGGTAGACATACCGATCGATTCATAATCATAGCCTGAATTGATCTAAACGTAAACTTGTGTTCAAGCTACAGGTCGCAATTTTTGAGATATTTCGATAAAATTTGGTGCAGCGACGTGTTTTGACCCAAGAAAGAACCCTATTGAAAATGGTTAGGATCTGTCCACTTTTTCATTCACTGCCCAAGTAACGTCTCATTCTGAAAAGTCGTTATATGGAAAAAAATTGCAATCTTCAAAATATCTCAGCAAAAGTGGCTACGTAGTAGCATTTCGGGTTTCGAAATAGGTAGGAAAACTTTGGACCAGCTGGGGCAATTTTTGAACCCCTTCTCATATAACGAAAACTGAAGTTTATTCGACAAAAGGTACACTTTTCAATGCTTCACGATGGAAACTACATCAATCAGCAATTTGACGTAAAAAAATTAACTGTACCAAATTTGAATCGTCTCGTCCTATTTTATCGATCCTACCCTAATAAGGAATTTCACGAAAATTGATCGCAAAAATAAGAATTGTATTAGGCAATGTGGCGTAAGGTATTTAATGGCTGGCCTTGCCCGACTATAATGTTATTACTTCGTTACATCAAATGTGAAACAAGAGCATATTAAGCTTGAATCGGGATAGACACAAGGAACGGTTCAAAGTGAGAGGGTATAGAGCAGTACTCTTGTCTGTTTGTTTCTGTGTTTTTTCTTTACTTTTTTTTGCTAAGACAAAAGTTGACGTGGCGAACATAAGGGATTTGACTACAGCCGAATATAATTTTCTGACTTCTGACTATTCCTTACCTAATTTTCTCTAAAGTTTTTTTAATTCATTACCAAATTCATTAACCAATGACTTAAGTCTTCCATACACTGAAAGTCTAAAAGTTTTTTGAGCTTGACGAAGACATAAGATCCAAAGAGCGTCACATGGGTAGAACATGATGACGGACGATTCAGACATTCCCCTTTCTTCTCCAAACGAGCTATTGATATGTGTATGCCCGCTCATGTCTTAGTCTCAGCATTTACAAGATAATTTTATCGTCTCTAGTTTAAGTCACTTTTAAAGAAATCCCTTTCGTTATAATTTTTTATAAAAGCACCGCAAATCAATTAATCCATTTCATATAATAAAGCTTCGTTCGTTTGTTTTTTAAAGGAATGAAAAAAAAATAAAACGATAAAAAGGATAAAGTAAAGAAAAAAATATTGAAACAGAAATCAAAAACAAAGCCAATTAAAACACAAGTCTAAACAGATGTAATAACATACAAGTTGAAGATCTAACTCCGTAAAGTTGTCAACAAATATGATTTCTCTTGCAATCAAAAAATTGTTGCGTCAACATCCTTCACTATTTTTAGTACTTTGGCCTCCTTAGAGCAAAACAATTGCATGTAATTTACTCTACGGTTTAATGCCACAACTCACGATCATAATGTTAGATCAAATCATTAAATATTTTTTTTGTTAAATTCCGAATGGAATTAATTCTCACATGCCTTACTTAGATATCTTCATTTTAGCTATGAATATACTATAAATTCAGAGTCGTTGTGTTAAATATTTTTACTTGAAATAGATAGGTTTTTCTTTTTGCTCGAGTATGGTTTAAAAATTGATTGAAGGAAGGTGAAAAGGTAAAAAAAATGGACTATCCTCTTTATAATATCCCTTTACAAGAGGTTCAGTAATTGTAATCACTGTAATGTGTTCACTATATATTTTTGGATACCCACCGATTCACTATAGTCGATGTAAGGCAGGTGTGGCCATCTTAAGATCTTCAATTGTCTCTGTGCTAACAAAATGAAATAAGCTGATGCGTTGCGTAGTGTAACAAAAATTGCAGCGCATTTGTCGTTCATGGCGTATGATTAGCTTTTTAAAAAACTTTATAATTCTATTTTATAAAATTTAAATAACAATCATACGCCGCAATTTCCAATAAGGTGCATATTTTATAAGTAAATCGAAGTGAAATTGACTTCGAATCAAATTAAATTGAGTTGAGATTGAATTGAAATAAAATTGATATAAAAGACTAATTATTTTGTAAAGTGATTTATTGAATTTTTATTATACAGATTGAGGGTAAACCAATTCAAATTCCCACTTCACCTTTGAAAAAGTCTGCGCACTACCTGTAATAGTTTAAATGGTGAAGAAAAGCAGAAATCTTATATATATTGTTGTCGAAAACGAAGAAACTATAGCGGTACCTTCCAAAAAGTATTTGGCAGCACCTTGGAACACTTCAGTACGATAAGCGGCCAACCTACAAAGTTATTATTCATAAAATTATGAACCAAGCTGAGTAATTGCCAAGCCAAGCCAAGATAAGTATGGAGCCAGGTAATGTGGAAGCGCGACTGTCAAGTCAATATATCTGAGCACAGCGGTAGAGAGTACTTTAGTTACAATTAGTGTGTCGTCTTAGCTAACGTGAACGCTCGATCAGTAAAGCCACAACATCTTTATATTTCTTTTCAAACGGCACTGCATAGGGAACATACAGTCAGTGATTGTTCGCATAATAGAAAAAAAAGAGAAGTTCGCGTTCATTGAGACGATATATGTCTTACAAAATTTCTCCCACTCTCCACACTCCCACACTTTATATCTAAGCTTTACTACGAATGTTAATTAAGCCAGGTGTTTGCTTGTCTACTTTTTGCTAAACATTTTCAGTTAGTAGCTCCCGCCGGGGTCGTTTCTACATATGTTAAGATTCAGTATTATAGTCTTTTAAAATGAATGACCCATTTTTTACAGATTACATTCACACTTGCAAAGACTATTCTTACATTTTTTGCTTTCGAAAGAAAGTTTCAAGTATTAGCGACTTTAACTATTGTAAAAAAGAGCTTTATTTCCTCATACTCGGCAAAAAATAAAAAGCAAAAAAAATTGCAGCCATTTATAGCATTTATACCACTGTGCGCAGTCGCAAACACTTTACTGATTTAACGAGATTACGAGAATATATACAAAATTATATTAAAAGAAAAGAAGCATCCGCGTAAATCGCTAAAACGATTGTAATTTGCTTTTTCAACACCTTGTTCGTCCATCGTTCGTTTTTACATATTCGCTGTTTCGTTTTTACTTCACTGTGCTCGCTTCTTAATAGCAAAACATATAAAACGCGACAGTTTTACTCTCTCAGTCGCTCACGAAGAGCCCACACAAACACAACATAACACAACTTTAATTTATATAGCAATGGGCGACAAATGCAAGTGTGTGCACGCGGCTACACTACACTATAGAATTAAGCTTTGTGTTGAAATGTAGCAAATAAGTTGAACTGAAGAAGGGGGTTGATAATGGTTTCAATACATGAAAAACACAAACAAAAAACCAGCAGCCATTGTGTCTGAGAGGAATGGTATCCTGCTCGTATATATATAATATGTTATATGTATATATATATATATATATATATACATATAACATACAAACATGAACATGAACATGTAGTATGGATATACATAGATAGTTGGCTTGCTTTGGGGGAATCATAAACCAACTGAATAACTTCTGAAAAGCGAATTTGTTTGTGTTACTGCGGTTGGTTGGTAATGCGCTTTCGCTCTTCTTCTACTCAAATCACAATCAGATCATTGTCGTCTGACGGTCTGTGATTTCTTTCACTACCTTGTTGTTGTTGCAAATGACAGGCTGATTATTGGTGCTGGTTGCTCGTGTTTAGATTTGCGCGCGCGTCCACTCTCTGTTGTGCGGTAACGAGCAAAGTGTTAGCAATACGGCACAAAAACCAGTCTGTATTTAAAACACGTTTAAACCGATTGTCGATATGCGAGAGCTGCTGCTTAATGCCGTCGGTGTATGCAAAACTCGCAATATACGTGCAAGCCTAACAGCAACGCACACTGATTCCAGCTTAAAGTGTGAAAACAATTTATTCATTAAAAGCGAGAAAAATCTTGCTTTTGAAAAAAAAGTAAAAATGAATAAATAAATTATACGAAATTATGTTAAAGCGGTGGTAAATGTGTTTAACAAAAATAGAAAAGAAACACGATTTACTTCACAAAAAAAAAAAAAAAAAAGAATGTAAAACAAAACAAAAATAAGAAACGAATAAATAACGATTTTTGTTAACAAATAATCCAGGTGTGTGAAAAGTGCGTTATTTTATTAATTTGCAAGTGGTTGTTGCCACCGCTTAATATCGTTTAAAATTACTTGAGTAAGAAACCGGAATTAAAAGATTTGTGATAAATTGTGTTAACAATCGTTTAAACGAATGTATGCTTTCATTAACGAACCGCTTATTTGGGCGTATTGCGTACGCTTACTTCACGCGTCCGCGGAATCATAACTATGCCAAGGCCATCACGTGAATCTTACGGCGATCAGAAGCCACCATATTCGTACATTTCCTTAACAGCCATGGCCATCTGGAGTTCACCGGAAAAGATGTTACCGTTAAGCGATATATACAAATTTATAACCGATCGTTTCCCTTATTATCGCAAGAATACCCAACGCTGGCAAAATTCATTAAGGCATAACTTAAGTTTTAACGATTGCTTCATCAAGGTACCAAGACGTCCCGATCGACCAGGCAAAGGTGCTTATTGGGCTTTACATCCGCAAGCGTTTGATATGTTCGAAAATGGCAGCTTACTGAGGCGAAGAAAACGCTTTAAATTGCATAAAAACGATAAGGATTTGTTGAACGAAGAGCTGGCTGCTCTAGCAAACCTGAATCGTTTCTTTTTTACGACGACTACCGGCCATGCAGCGATGGGTGCGATGCCCCCTATGGATATGTCCACTGCGGCCATTATGGGAGATCCTACGCTGTATATGGCCAGAATGCCACCTGTCGCCAGCCTTCAGCAACATTCATCGTCTTCTGCTCATCATAATCCCCATAACCATAGCGCCATTTCACCGGCGGCTTTAGTTCAGCATAACACCCAAACATTAGCATCATTATCTGCACCTGCCACAGCAACAACAACTATTTTAACTCATCAGCCACCGTCGTCAGCTTTGGACGCCGTCATGCAGTTTAGCAGTTATCGACCAAAGCGGGCATTCACCATTGAGAGTCTGATAACACCCGATAAGCCAGATGGTTCCATTTCGGGTGAAAGTCTCAATGGAGATGATCGAACCGATATTGATGTTGTTGACAGCAATAGTACAAATGCTGATGAAATTCATATAACGGCGCGAACTTCGCCGCATTCTCCGCAACACAATTCCCCCGCTGCAAAAAGTAATCGCGCAATATCAACAGAAAACGAACAAAGGCATCGGCCGCTTCCACCTTTGCATACGATAACAGCTGCCGCCAATTTGCCATTCCTTCAATATACTACAGGCGTTAACGTAAGCAGTGCTAATCTTATACCGGCACCAAGTAACGTCCAACCTTATGATTTGCCTATGCCACATCCGTTGCTAATGATGGCAAATCCTATGATCAATCAGCCTCCATCGTACTATTCTAATCTTGGTGTCTCAACATCGACAACATCAGTTCCTCATTCCGCAAACGATCTGCATCATCGCATCAATTCAAGTCTACGCACCGTATAGCCGCGCGAGTATACTTGATTTATGCAAATTCCTTAGTTCCTTAAACGAGAACCGTATTAGCAACGATAACCTAATGGTTCGCCACTTCCTGGCATGTTTTATCAGACAGACTAGGAATGTTGAAATTGATACACAACCAACCCATTGTGTATGAATATATATTGTATGTATGTACCATAGAAATTATAATATAAGTGAGAGTTAATTATTAAATTTTAAGTGTGTATGTGTACCTCCTACTCCCTTTTTGACTTTTTTTCTTCTTCTCTGTTTCTCCCTCTCTATTTATTGGCTTAGACACAGACATGTAGAAACATAGTAAAGAGTGTAGTGTTTAGCATTTATGTTAATAACTTTATATATAATTTAATGTTAGAGTATTAAGTGCTTCTATGTGATTCGATAGTAGAACAATTTCTAAATATAAAAATAATAACAAACTGTTTAACTAGCATTTCCCGTTCGTTTCAATCAATCATAATGATAATGAAGACATTAAATGTCTTAACTTTTAGCAAAGATGAGAGCGAGGTCTTACAAAAGGCCAAACAAGACATAACTTTCTTACACAACAATAAAAACAAAAAAAATAATTTATTTTCTTCAGAGAATTCGCTTAAGAGTCTGTCTGTAAACAGACTTTTCTTCATTTCTTATTTAACTAACCTTTCTTATTATTCGATTGATTAGAAATATTTTTTTTTTTTTACATTTAACAAGATGTAGAGAAAATGAACTTGGAAACATTAACAAGAACGCTTTAAAGTCCAACCGCCAACCAGTCACTTGTTTTCCTCTCACACGTGCCATTTTTCACATGTACTTCGTGAAGAGTTTATCCGATAAAATGTCCGATGTTGACTCTACACATACTCGTCTCTCTGACATTTTTTACTTTTTGATGCGTATCTTAATCAAACATATTTTAAATCTATTTGCCTTGGGCCACCTCGTTAAGCGATTGCCGCGGTTATTCAGAGTTGCATTCAGAAGTTCTACAAAGATGTCGTATAGATTTCGTTAAAGACTTAAATCCATTTTAAATGTCTCACAGTGAAAGCCATTTCATTGCCATACGATCACCCGTTGCCTTAGTGTATGCAAACCGACATAAGGATAGCTCTTCAGTCTTTGTTATATTTTGCAAAGATTTCGCCATTAACAAGGTTTGGCTTAAATTCCTATGCAAAAAATGTTCGATGATGAAGGCACTTTCATAGCCACACTGCTCTTTCGCTTCAAATTGTACTCAATTAAATCCCGGCGTCATAGACCTATAAAACATAAATTTCATAGGCGCTGATGAGTTCTGGGGCTATCTTTTCAACACCTCTTCGCGATTAGATTAGAACTATAAATTAAATTATGGTTAAAGAAGCCGAAATTCCTTTCCGTCTCTTCCGTTTAAATAAAATCGTGATACAATCTTTTCTCTAAATAAGATATTTTAACCGACTAGATATTCTGTCACCTATAAATTTTGGAAAGTTATTCGGTAATTATTGCTATATGGGAGAGCATTGCCAACTCGTAGGTGATTCATAACAATTTCTTTTTTTAATTTACCTAAATTCGGAGAAGTTCCTAGAAGAACTAAATATGAGAAATCTGGAGCCGAGTTTACGAATTTAAGTGTTCGGAATATGCGACGATTTCCTATTTGCAAGAAGAAAAAAAAAAAAAACAGTTTTAAATAATATAATGCCGACTATAGACGGGCGTACGAGTTGGTGTTAGAAATACGATGCTAACATACACTCGACATAGGAGGGCAAACGACAATTTATCTTTTATAATTTTTCCTACGTTAGAGACTAATTTCGTCTGTAGAGAACTTCTTGTTTTTTTTTTTACTTCACCTTAAACTGAGAGCAATGACAAAACTTGGGTTATTCAAAATATACCACATCGCTAGTTACAAATTTTTTCCCATCTTTAGAGTAATTTATGGATATCATGCTAATAAAAAAATTTCCCTTTTCCCCCAAACTGTTGATGGAGTCATTTTGTTCATACCGCACGAACGAAAACACTGCTTATCAAATTCGTGGTCCATCAAAGCAACGAGTGTCCGTCGTAGTTGAGTGTTTCCGACATGTCGCAAAACTGAATGGATGATGTAAAGACGATTGATTGATTGATTGAGTGTGTGTGTGTGTGTGCATAGAACATGGGTCACCAAAACAGTATCTGAAGAGCAAATATTAAGTTTGCCAAGTTGTGTTTGTTAATCGCTTTACTATTGTTCTTGTCTAACCCGCTCAGCGTCGATTCGCTAAGATAATCTATTGAAATACAAATTGAACGCAATAATCAGTCAGAAATAAAAGAGGGATTGATAAATGTTTTATTTAATTTTCTCCTTACTTTTATACTAAATTTTTTCTCCTTAATTTCTATCACTTTGCTTAACCTAGCGGGAATTATTATTGCTTACGCTAAACTAGGCTATTGGTAAGAGTACACTTTTGTTTCCTGTGCCATGAAATTTTGTTTATTTTCCATTTCTAAATTTTTAATTTGCATGCAATTCGTATAATGGAATGTATACTAGGCAGATAGATTGACCTGCACAAAAATGACTTGTGTTGTTTTTGTTTTTACTTTCTGGTGGCGTTTTGCACCGCGAATGCTCAATTGTTTGGTGTTCGCTCTTTCATAAGATTATATCAACGCTTAATAGACTAATCCCTTTTCATTCACCAAGCATAGACTCCGCCATCGTCTTGGCAAAGTGATTTGTTCTTGCGGCCGTTGGTGCGCTTAATTCTAGCCCTCGTCTTTCGACCATCCCAGTCACAGAAACGACTTTTGTTCCTGCCAAAAAAAAATAAATAAATAAATGCTTTCCGTGATTACCTTTCATTTCATACAGATTTCAAGATACTGTTATCTGAAAACACTATTATGCAGACACTTTCTTACTTATGTCAGTTCAATTTACTGATGGCGCAACAAAATATCATATATATATATATATATATAATATCAAAATAATAAAATATCATATATATATATATATATATATATCAATTCTTCACAGTTTACTATACGTTGTATTGTTGCTTCATCTATTTGTCAAATCTGCACTTCAAATTTGTATACCTATATTTGACTTGCGCCGTCCCAGAAACCTACTATCTAGTTGATTCGATTTTCATTATATTTTGTAGAGAAACTCAACGCAAGCTAATTTGGTTTTTATCATCAAGTTGAATCGATTTCAAAACTCAAGTAAGAAACTGTACACAAACAACGCCATTTCATTATCAAGTCACACCGGGATCTATACAGTGGGCGCAAGCTCACTAATGGTTCTATCTTCACTAGGAAGGGCTAATAGTCTTGCAAAGTTAGAAGGTAATTAAATGCAAAACAAATAACGTGAGTCCAATTAGACACGACCTTAAACGATTTGGTTAATTATACCTACCATGGTCTTCATAGCAAACTATTACGGCGGACATAAACAGACATTCTTCTATGGGGTCATATTGAAATGTCTCCACGGTTTTTTTTGGCGGTTTCGAGCTTGTTTTTGCAACCTGCTCTTTTCAAATGACTGTTCCAAGTGGCTGATCTTTAGTGGTTTCCGTATTTCGTGAGGGCTTGCGTGACGGTCTTTCTCCACCAGTTGCAAAATTCCATCGACGTTTTCACTGACTGCGAGGTGCATCTTTAACATCGAAATTTCCAGAACAGAATCTACCAAACCACTTCTGAGTCCTTAGTTAACTCATAGCATTCTCACCGTAGACTTCAAAATTTTTTTTTTGCTATGTTTTTACCTTTTTTTATGTTAAAAAAGCAGCACTTTTTAGACGAGCAAACAATTAGAAAACTTCGCGAAGAATGTAAGCTGAAATGTGATATTTTAAGCACATGTTCGTTTGAAACAATCAGATATATGTCATCACAATTCCGCGAAGAATTTTCAGTATGACCAATTATTACTTATTATATGTATTTTTTAATAGTACGCTATGAATATCTGACTAATAGAACGATTTTCGAAATGTCCATCAGTATCGCACTCTACCTGGCAGTTGTAATAACGATTGCAACCTACAGACTTTAGTTATTTAGGAAAACGTCAAATTTGCTTTCGAAATTTTGCTTTCATCCACAATGTTGGTCCGCCTATAATTCAAATAAATTGTTAGGGCCATTAGAGTGTTAAGATTTGGTTTAAAGTCTTTCTTCATTAAAATGAGGATAGAGGGGCACTGTATAATTATCGAAATACCGTACCTTTTATAAAAGGTTTTAAACTTTTGTTCGGTTGTTAATTCGCTGAATAACAGAACAAGAAGAAGAAGTAGAAGAAGAACTACTCATCAGACATTATCAACTACTTTGGAGTATCTTTAAGTGATGTTTACTGAGGTGTACTTCCCGCTTGGATATGTCTGTATTTTCCTTCTCGCTGCTCTAGTCATAACGATCTTTTTCAATAGTGATCTGTTCACATATAAACTTGATAGCTGCTATTTTACATTTTTAGGATTAGGAATAAGATTTAAGTTTTTGCCTACAATTATGAGAGTGCTGGACCCGTAGTAAAGTAGTTAAAAATAGCTTCGCTTGTTTAAAACGGATAGTAATCAATCATTTTTACAAGATGTCGATGTCAACATACGATTCTTTCTTAAATTCTAAAACGCAGTAGCCATCATCTTCTTTGGTACGGTCATCTTGTGCCGCCGGCTGGCTAGAAAGTCGACAATCACTGGCTAAGCTTCGGATGTCTGACGATTCGTCACTGATGGGACAAAAGTTGTCCTGTAAATCATCCCATACGACATCATAGCCTCCTAAAGCTGCTTAAGCAGTGCTTTTCTCTTACTATTCGCCATAGATTTCGCTTGCAAGTTGCTCTTTAAAAACACAGATAAGATAAACGCTGCTGTTCATCAGAACTTGCGCTTGCCTCAAAACTATTTAGTAGGGAACACTGTACGCGAAGTTTTCATTCCACTCATAGCAATTGAAACGGCGAA